TTTCCTCGGGAGATTGCGTTAACTGAAAATCCAAGTTCGAAGTGTGTGGGTTTGTGTATTGAGCAAAGCACCGGAGAGATAGACATTTTACATTACTTGGATCCAGATGCTCTCGGATGTTCTTGATATACCAAACAAAATCCTGGCAGTCTGTTGTTTGCAGAAGGATCACAACAAAACCGTGGCACCCAAATAGCATGCTATCCGGTGGTTGTGTGATGTTCACGTGTCGTTGGACTTGCGCCACCAAAGCGGGCGTAGCATCGCCTCTCAGGCACCTGGTGATGCCTGGGGTGGACGCCTACAGTGTTCTTGGGGATGCCTGCCTGGAAGCAGGCGTTGCGTTGACGGCCAGGCGGGCGGATGATCCGCGACATGAAGGCTTGAAAGCATGGATCATCGCGTTTGGACGATGTCAACTTCAGTCCAAGGTCTCGGGATTGTATGCAATCTCATGATTCATTTCGCATTCAACACCGCAAGAACATTCCAGTTCGGGCGTGCGATTGAATAGGTCTGAAGCCATGGCGCTGGTGGGAACGATGCCACGAGAGGTCGTTGTGATTGTTGACCCCGTCTCCACTGGACGGCCCCTCGTGAAAATTGCCTGTTCTCGTGGTTTCCTGGTGGTAGTCTTGTGGAGTAAGAAGTTGGTGGAGCACACCTCAGGCACTCTGAGCTCAGATAGCTCACAGGTTAAACAAATTGATGCCTATGAGGCGTACTTAGTGGTGCAGGAGCAAGCCTCCACCCCTGCAACTGTGAAGGCCATTGAAGGAGCACTTTGTCCACTTGGTGCGTTCGAAATCACAGCTTGCATCCCCGGCAGCGAGCGAGGCGTGAACTTGGCAGATCTTGTTTCTTTTGAGCTCAGCCTTTGCTCGTCGGGCTCTGGGAACAAGCCTTTCCATGGAGGAGACCGTCAGAACAAGCATGTGCAGCGGAATGCGCTGGAGATGGCTGGGTGCCGCGCAGTTCGGGAGATTTGTGGGTACTCGTGGGATGTTGTCCACGGTCACCTGAAAGATTTAGGACTCCCAATGGTGGTGAAGCCAGTGCAGTCCGCAGGCACGGATGGAGTAAAGCTTTGCCATACCGTTCAAGCTGCAAAAGAGCACTTTCATCATTTGCAGGTCACCAAGAGAAAAGTGGTGGCTTGTGACAACGCGATTTTGTTGCAAGAGTTTCTCGATGGTGAGGAGTATGCCGTGGACCATGTTTCTCGCAATGGTGTGCACAAGACTATTATGGTTTGGACCTATCGGAAGCAAACAGTCAACGGTGGGGATTTTGGTTGTACCCACTTTGAACCAGTGGAGACCATAGACTGCCCGAGGGGCCTCATTTCATATGTTCGCGCAGCACTTGATGCATTGGAGATTCGCAACGGGGCGACCCACACGGAAGTGATGGTAACAGCGGATGGCCCTTGCCTAGTGGAGGTGAACACGCGGATGGTCGGCGCCGATGGGTGCCACATATCTTTGGCACGGTTGCTGACAGGGACATCACACCCTGATGCAACCCTTGATTGTGCCAGCCAGAAACGCTTTGATGCACTACCTGATATTCCCAGAGCTTTTCAAGGGTCAGGTCTGATTGTTCCCCTCGTGTCCTACTTTTCCGGCCGAGTTGAAAGCACACCAGGATACGAGAGAATGAAGAACATGGTGTCCTTCCTTGAACTGTGCAGTTTCATCTCCGCTGGATCTGAGGTGCAAGTCACGCTGGATTGTTTTACCTGTGCTGGTTTTTTGGTGCTTGCGGGTTCCCATGAACAGGTGTGGGCAGATCTGGAAAAGGTTCGCCAACTTGAGAAAGAAGGCTTGTTTTGCTTCACTGAGGCAAGGTGTTCAGCCTGAGCCTGGCTGCAAGCGGCGGCATAATATGTACAGTGTCGCGGTAACCGGTAAAGTTGCGAAGGCAACCTAAGCCCCAACCTGGGCTAGTTGCTCATTTGCTTGTTTTTTGGCTATTTGGCCTCCAGTAATCGCTTTGCCTGAGGAAAGCCAACCAGCATTGTCAGCTTATTCTCATTTCGTGAAACTACGAAACGTGGCGAGCGCAGTAGTGATGTCCCAAGCCGCAAATCGGCAACGTCACTGCCCTACAACAGTAGGTGGTTGCGGTGTCTTGGCAAGAAAGTGTAGAGTGAACACCGCATGAAAGGTTGCCACAAAGCATGTGGTTGAATCTTTGTGTGATTTTTGGCGGGGCATGCTTTGTACACTGCACTTCACTCTAATTCCCATGTTTAGCTCAAGAATTGGGGCGCTCCGACGTTGCGGCAGATGTTGGCTGACTGGCCAGAAAGCGCAACGGAAGTGCTGGATAGGCCAGGCGGTTGAGTGGAAGTTTCAAACGATTCTCTGAAACGATCACCTTGCTCATCGGCAAGCAACATTTGAAAGGAGGTCAATAACAATCGCTTTCAACCCCTCCTTCCTGGGTCACTATCATTGTCTAGTAGCACCTCACCATCACAAACCCCACTCAGAGTTGTGGTGTGAGTTCTGTGGGGGTGATGCCAAACCATGACCACCCTCCTTTCTGCGTAGAGGCCTTCTCCGTGTCTATATCGCGGAGGGCCATGCATCGCAAGGTGTCAAGCCATCCAAATTCGAAGGGTTTAAGCCAGCAGTTTTTGGCCACATCACTTTGTCAAGCTGGAGGCTTGGGGATACAAGTAAGAGGAAGAGCCTTTAGAAACCTGCCGCAGGATGTGAAAAGACATCAAAGTTCCGATAAGACTTGAGAGACAGAACATGCCGAGGACGGAAGATGTGCGAGAGGAAAGTTTTGGAATCTGGACTTGGGGCCAGGCATTTTTGGAGAAGACGGTTTGCCAAAGAGAAGACGAACCGTTTTGTTTGACAAGAGACCAATTTTGAGGGAAAGAGACGGTGTGAGAGGAGAAGCTGAGCAGCTTAGCAAAGCACTGGGTTGAGTTGCAGGTTTTGAATCTTGAATCGAGTGGTTGTGCGGGTTTGGTGTGTCGGTGGTGTTCCATTGTGGTCTCCCCGGCCCTGCCTTGTCAGTTTGATCGCTTGTATGTTGGCTTGCTTATTTCCTCCTGGCTGGCTGGCTGGCTTTGAATGCCTAGGTCGGGCAAGCTTGGAAAACTTCCCGCGAAAGCTGTTTGGAGCAAGATTTCAGCAAACGCAGTGCCAAAGCTTAGGAAATGAATGCTTGTGCCATTGCTTCGGACGGTGACACCTGGCAGGTCTGACGTCCCGTTCGTGACGTCTAGAGTCTAGGGGACCAGTAGACTGCAGATCTGGTTGAGCATCCAAGTCTTTCAATTCTTGTGCTTTGTCATCCAATTGGATATTGCTTAGACAGACTGCAGATGCTGTTTTTGGAATTGGTTTGAATTACTTACCCCTGTGGTTGGTCATCCAATTCTTTCTGGCGCCCACCCAACCTCACTGTCGCTGCACCCAAAGAGATGCACAGACCACCTTTGCAGTGGCCAGTGGCCTTCTTTGTCCCTTGTTTTTCACTGAGACAACCTTGGTGGTGATCATGCTCTCTCCAACTTGGCGGGCTTGACCAAGTCAGACCTTTTCATTAAGAAGTCGGACATAGTTGGACAAGGAAACTCTCACTTCTCCTTGCTGTGAGGCCTTTCATGGACTGCATGGACAAGTCCTCACAGCACGAGAGCTCAGTGGCACATCCCGTGCGGATTGAACGGCTTCACAGACCAAGCGAGTAGTTGGTTTGTTTGATTCTATGTTTTGCTGGGAGTGTTTGTTTTCGTCAAGCTTCCAACAGCATCATGTAGTTTGTTGTGTCTGTTTTGTTTTTGTCGATTTGTTGTTTTCCCTATTTTGCTCTCTTTTGTTCCCTTCAGATGAGTGAATCATCCTCATGCTTGTCACCATCATCATGAGATCTGACCGCTGTGTTCAAACGACCACGCCATTTCATAGATTACACACATTCAAAAACCCACCACGCACAAAACGCAGCACCCATTTTCCAACACAAATCGGGGCTGGCACTGTTTGAACCGCATGCGCCGCATGCGCCGCATGAGGTCTGAGCTTGAAGCCTGGCAGCTGAGCCGAAGTCCCAAAAAGAGTGGTGTCCGTGAGTGAGGGCCCAGTGGAGTCCATCTGTTAAAAAATTGGTTCAAACGGTCTGATCAACAGGCCCATCAGTGGGTCCAAGCATCTTGAAACTTGAAGCAGTAGCTTAAGGTGCACTCTTGATTAATCAAACCCCAACCAATATGAAGAGGTTTTGGAATACAATAGTGGGGATTGTAAAGCAAGAGTCTACATTGTCTACATCAGCTTTTTGGTTCCATATGAAGTTTGTGCACATGTAGGGACACATAGTGATGACTTACAGCCACATGTGTTGTGAGAGGAGGTTTTTGAATTGTTTGCTAGATGCTTGCGCGTGGCATGCGAATCAAATGATGTCAAGATGTTTGGGTGACTTTCATTGCCAGCACCTCATCAGCAGCACAACGTTACGCCTATGGGTAACCACCTGGAATCATGGGATATGTCAGGATATGTCATACACTACGTAGGTTGCTGGATCCTGTGGATCATCCAAGTAGGGTGGAAATTGAGTCATCAAAACGTACGTGGCCCTATCCATCCATTCGCAAGCTTTTTGGCTCAACAGACAAGAGCACGGATGCAATGTCTTAACACCTAAAAAGTCAACCGCACACAACAAACCCTAAGTCCTTTCTTTGTCAAAGCAAGGATAAATTCTGTTTAGTTTAAACGTCGGGCTATCCATGAAGTGACAATTGAAGTTTGATCCCGGGCTGCAGCCCGCCAGAGACGTACATATCGACAAAAAAGGTCACACTTCCAGGTGCAACACATTGCGGCAGCCAGCCGTAAGAGGATAGAGAGAGAGAGAGGCTGTAACATAATGGAGTGTTAAATAATGGAGTGTTAAGTACGTGTATATCGTCCCTGCAATCAACAAAAAACAAGATGACATATCATATAGAACTACTAATCTCTATGAGCTGACGAATTTGATATTTCAATAATGAAGCAGCAAATAACTCATAACAACAGCACTACATACAACCTGTCTTGCCAATTCAAGTTTGGTCACACCGGGCTCCCATCAGTTCTATGCTCATATCCATGGTCAACACCACTTGATATTCTGACCATGCCATGGCTCGAAGCCCAGCACCCGTCACCAGCTACCAGGCGCCATCGTCCAAGATGTCGGTTGTGAAGGGACCAGAAGGGAGATGTTTTGTAATCAGAAATTCATCCATCATCCATTGAAAAAAGAGAAACATACACAAAACAACAACCAAATGGATCATTTATCAAATGACAATTCATCAATGGATGTCCATCCATCATCCATTGAAAGCGCACAACCAAATGGCAAGTGGTCACGACAGCATGGGGGAGTGCGCATCCCAAAGGAGCCAAATGCCGAGGCTCCAAAAGACCCAGCATGAGGGCTCAAGCACTCCGGTCATGGTCACCCGTGAGATCATGAACATCTCAGTGGAGTGTCAGTTGAATTCATCTTGCTTCCAGCCCCCATGTGAAGAGGTAGTTTTTTTTTTCATCGACCGTCTACATCAAGGAAGTCTTAATGAAATTCTGGTCTTATCATGAGCTCACCAAGATTCTTAGGATCTCCTAACGATCCTAGGGAGTTTCCACTGGCGTGCTATTTCGTCGTTTCGACTCACATGCTGAGTGCTTCTCGCTCGGCTCAGCAGGCTCACTGCTGAGAGAAAAGAAGCTGGCCATGGGGAAGCACCCGGAGTAGAAGCACGATGAAAGACAACAGGACGATCCTGGACACTTACTACTGAAGTACCAAGATGTACTAAGCACAGGGACGAAGAACGCTTCACCTGTGCTCTTAGAATATGGGTCTTGCTTGCCGCTTGCTTCCTTGGTTGGAGGGTAATATTGGGAGATATTGTGAGTCATACGATGTCAATAGTGTAGGCTTTCTTCATAGACGGCTTCAAGAAGTGTTTGCATCAACGTACAAGGGGCAAATAGCAAACTGGTTGGTCATCACCTCCCCTGAAGAGGAGCTAAACATCCACAACGCCAGTGGCATTTAGTATAAGAGGTATTTTTGTTCAGAGCTGCCACATAATGATGTCCATTTGTCCACATCCCTGTACTACAACCTACTAGTATAATGAAAGAGGTGAGAGAGCATTGGTATCCCAGGTAATGATACCCATGGTGTTTTCTCCTTTGCCTTGCACATCAAATTGTTGAGTGTTATCACCTCGCTTCCTCATTTGTTGTTCACATTGTTCTCACCATCCAACAAAACCGCAGATCTCGCGCCCTCCCCGCTTTTGCCGCGCGAAAGCGGAACCTTCTTCGCAGGCCTTGCGGGCGAAGCTCAACGGGCTCAGCTATGTGCAGCCCTTCGGTGAGGACCGACCTACAGGGCCTTCTCGATTCTCCGAGCGTCGGAAGATGACGGATTCTTGGAATACGTATCTAGCTCTGCATTTATAGGATGTTGGGTGTTTCTGTATAAGGTTTATCCAAACTTTTGGGTTGGTCAAGGGCTAAATAGGAATAACAATTAAACTACAAACTAACATCAAACCTTGTACAGTGCTTGATCAGTGACTATTTTGTTGACGTTGTTTATTTGCATGTTGTTTTAAGTTGCCCTACCCGGCTTGTATGTCGCAGTTGTCATTCACCAGGTTTGACTCGACTCAACTGCTGAGTGTTGTCCGACCTACAAACTGCCAAGTTCCTCGGTACCTGACAAGGCTGGACATGATCCTTAAAGACTGCGCTGACAAGCGTCGTTGTCCACAAGGTTCCCAACATGCGTGGTTATGATTTCTTCCTGGTCAGGTTCCAACGAGATTCGTCAGTGGAGATGCGTTTGACAGTACCATCCTGGATGCAGCTTGTGCTGGAGCTTCTCAACCTTGCCAAAGACTTGATGATCATTATGTATATATGTGAGCTAGAACGAGTGCCGTGACTTCCCCAGCCACCTGAGCACCGATGTCACCTCAATGTCACCTCAGCCACCGCTTGAGTCGCACAGGAGTCTTTGGCCCTGGTCGAGCGGCTCTTGGAGGATTTGCTGAAATCCGCAGAGCCCCTCGGACGGACGTGCGTTGAGCCCATTGCGCGCCACAGTCTCCGCACGACCGGTGCCAAAGATAGAAGCCCCAGAAAACTACTTGTACACCGTTCGTGCCGGTTCTCTCCAGAAATGTGCATTTGGTATCATTTGGTCGGCCACCTCAGATGTGGGCTTCTGAAGTGTTGGTCATAAGTCAAGACGTTTGGACCCTCTGCTCGGTGTGTCAACTTCAAGTGATAATCAATTAAGACACAAGTTTGTCATGATGGTCGTTTTTGGAAGAGTTTCGGAACACCCAGAAGTCCTACCTCGATCCGATTGTGTGACCCCTTTTCAACAACGTAGGTTTGAGAGGACCGACTGGCGATTAGCCTCCTTTGAAACAAGCATGGACCGCAAGCAGAAGTCGGAGAAGGGAGAAGGACACTTTGACATGTTATCATCATCAGAAGTCA